GGCAACAGCTCTTACATTAGCATTTCCCTAACAAAAAGATAGTCTGTCTTTTTTCTTAAACTAAGTAATGTTGCTACAACATATTCATCTATTGCACGAGATCAACCTGAGTTACAAATAAGAAATCAGAAGAGTACCTACCGTAACACATGATCCTACAAAGTTTTATGAAGAAAGAGTATTTGTTCTAGCATCTACTGTGTTTAAGATTTAATCTATTCAGTGCCTCAAACTGATATCATTAATGTTGTGAATAAACAATAACAAATGCTTTCAAGAATAATGTTGAATTGTGTGAAATATTAGCTGTATAAAGTCTTTTTTGTAGGGGAGTTTTCAAATTGTTTTAAAAACAACTTCAAAGAGGTATCGATAGTGTGTTCATAATGTCTGCAAAAGGACATCAATAATAGTCTAAATTCCAATGCAATACTGGTACTGATTAGGGACTAGAACAGGCTGTTGTGAAAAGTACAATGTGTGGCACTGGATGATCCTGTTAGAATCAAAGTTGATTCACTATTGAAAGTAAAAGTGTGTTCATTCTCTGAATTTGACTTTTAGAATTATTTTTCCAGGCACTCCTCAAATTCTTTTATGTATTTCTCTCAGTTAATATGGCTGAAGTTCACTTCCCAACCGTAACATCTTAAAAGCCCAGGGAAGGACAGTGGAATGAGACAGCAGCTTGAACGAGGTGCTGGTATTGTTTACAAATGTTTTGCTTCTGAAGAGTGTTTCTGAAATTAGCCTGAGTGCTACCTGTGAAGATAAGCCAACAATGACATTTTTACATAAACTGTTTGCTCTATTTGCGAATGTCTAAAATATTTCATAATCTCAGGAGAGAATAGTGCCATTTGACATCATACAGTCATTAATATTGTCAAAGCACTGAAGACAGATCTCCAGCAATATGCTAATAAAAACCTGATGAAGACTAAAAATGCTTGTCAGCGAACCACAAAATTTCTGTCAGCAGCCTTCTGCTGGCATATATTGATGCTGTATTCATGAAGATAGAAAGAAAAGTTATTAGCTGTTTATAAAGAAAATTTCAAAGAATAAAAAATGCTGTGATATCTAACTTATGAGATAGCAGACAAACTGTTGACAACAGGCACTACAGGAGCAGGATGAGATGGGAAGGAATAATGCAGCAGCATCAATTACATGTGGGGAAAAAGGATGTCAATGCATTTGCATGTGATATGATATCAGAAACTGGTTTTACATCCTGCTGCCCACTTGCCAAAGGACTATTCCTTTACGCCTTGCAGAAGGAGACACCTATCCATATTCTTCCCATGTGGCATTAGCATTTCCAAAATGATTCTCGTGTATCAATAAAATGGATCGTAGACTCACCAGGAGAGTATCTACTAGGCTACTCTGTGTAATTTGGTTGCCAGAGTAATTAATTTCCTCCAAGGAAGGGGGAGCATCCACTGCTGGTCAGTCTGTTCCATGGTTCCTTTGTTATCAGGCATTGTTTATGGATAAAGAATTAGCTTATTGTATTAAAGGGATAAATATTCAATTCTAAAATTAGAAATGGGATTATGAAAACAGAAAACACATTGCCTATGTATGAGAATTCAGCTGCATCCTCGTGCTGTGTTTTTGGTGTCTCTCCTAGGACAACATTCAACCATGAGAGATGTGGGCTGATTGTAATATACCTCAACTTTTCCCAGAAGTTTGTTCAGTATACTTTTGGGTTTTTTGAACTGAGGATTGATTCCTACCACATGTCCCAAACTAGTCCATTGTCTGTAGGTTACACAGCTCCACCAGTAAGTTGCAAACCTTTGTAAAAGATGCATCAAAGTGAAACCCTTGTTAGCACTGTGCATGCCCACTTATTTCTAGCAGTTCACAGAATCACAGAATCATAAAATCATTTAGGTTGGAGAAGACCTTTAAGATCATTGAGTCCAACTGTACACCTAGCACTGCCAAGTCCACCACTACACCATGTCCCTAAGCACCACGTCTACATGTCTTTTAAATACCTCCAAGGTCGGTGACTCAACCACTTCCCTGGGCAGCCTGTTCCAATGCTTGACAACCCTTTCGGTGAAGAAATATTTGCTAAACTTCCCAACTTGAAGGCTTGCAACTTGAGGCTGTTTTGTCTTGTCCTATAACTTGTTACTTGGGAGAGGAGACTAACACCCACCTCACTACAGCGTCCTTTCAGGTACTTGTAGAGGTGATAAAGTCTCCTCTCAGCCTCCTCTTCTCCCTGCTCAAGAACCCCAGTTCCCTCAGCCGCTCCTCATAAGACTTGTGCTCCAGGCCCTTCACCCACTTCATTGCTCTTCTTTGGACACGCACGGAGAACATACTAGGCAGAAACAACAGCAAACAGCTTTGAGAGTGGTTCTGCCTCAGCTGTGGGAAGCCCCCTCCCTGGCCTTTCTGCAGGCAACCCTGCCACTGGTGCCATTTCACACCGGGGCGGCACTATGCAAGAAGGGCTCGGTGCAGGATTGCATTTCTAGAAAAGCTTTTCCTTTGTGGCTTGTACCTTTCTGGGATGCGTCTCGTGAAGTCAGGACAGAGTAAGGATCTGTACGAACAGGTCAGCGCTGGTGGACAAGCCCGTTCCTTCCAGCAGCACACTGGAGCACGCGGATGCCACCGCTAAAGCAGTGAAACGTTTGCCTGTACGAGCACAAGTCGGGACAGCCGCCCGTCGGCCCCTCTCACCAGCGCAGTCGAAGGCTTTGGGTAAGCGGGACAGGAGCAACCTCTGGTTACGCTGGGTGACCTGGGAGCCGCGGAGGGGCAGCGCAGCGCCCAGCTGGAGGGATCAGGGGCTGCAGCCCCGGCCCTCAGGCCTGACTGAAATACAAGTCCGGACATAAGCATCGGCGGCGGCCGTGCCCAGCCCGCGGGGGAGGACAGGTGGGAAGGCAGGGCTGCCTCGGGGGAACGGGGCCCTGCGGAGGGCGAGAGGCGCAGGGCACAGCCGGGCCGGCCGAAGCCGCCTCACGCACCCGCACGGGGCAGCCCCGCCCCCGCTTTGCCTTCGCCCCGCGCCGGGCCGGGCCCTGCCAGCGCTCCCGCGCTGCCCGGCGGGACCGCTCCGCCCCCTCCCGCCGGGACGGCTCGCAAGGCATGCTGGGGCTTGTAGTCCCTCCCGCCGCCCTCCCTCCTCACGGCCGCTTCGCGGAAGAGGGGGAGCGAAACTACAACTCCCAGCGGGAGGAGGGGCGTGCCCCTGAGCGTCCGTGACTGAGCCTGGACGGGGAGGGAGGCTGGTCCCGCTAGCTCGGGCCGCGGGGGCGGGGCTTCTCTTTCCCTGTCGCTCACCCGCACAACTCGTTCGCCTTCCGCCCGGCAGCTGGAGCAGCGGAGGACGGGGCCGCCGCCGCCCGGGGCTGACGGCAGACATCGCTCGCGGCTTGTGCCTGTGTGTGCGCGC